AATGCCGATATCATCGAAAATTCGGTGCCCGGGCCCAAAAATGTGTGCAACCCTGCACATCTCAGCTGCCACTAGCATCTCCGCGCCAGGAAAACTAAATATGCTGTCGCCTGTTCAGGTGGTAAGCGACAGCAATGTCAACAGCACCTGCCTCCCATCTAAAGAAAGTCGCCTGCACGTCATAGACAAGGTCACTGGCATGAAGTTCCTTATCGACAGTGGTTCCGTTGTATCCTTGATTCCAAGAAGCTTCTTTCAACGAAAACTTCTGCCTGCTGACCTCATGCTATATGCAGCCAATGCAACAGTTATCAAAACGTATGGTCAACACTTTCTTAACCTCAATTTTGGACTCCGCAGATCCTTCAAGTGGGCATTTATCATTGCAGACGTCAAATCAGCAATCATAGGTGCCGACCTGCTTTCACATCATGGCCTCCTTCCTGATTTAAAGCACAAGCGCCTTCTGGACTCTCTCACCTCACTGTCTTCTCCTGCTGAAATGCATGAAACCGAACTTCATACTGTTTCCACTGTCAATAATGCAGAATATGCACCTCCTACACTCAGTCAACCCTATAGCAAGTTGCTGGAAGAGTTTATTGACATCACCCGTCCAAGGTCAGCCCCATCAGTGGACGCCCCTACAGGAACTCATCACCACATAGTCACCACTGGACCGCCAGTCAATGACCGTCCACGTCGGCTAAACTCAGAGAAACTAAAGATTGCTAAAGAGGATTTCGACCTCCTGTTGCATCATGCTGTTATCCGTCCCTCCAGCAGTCCATGGGCCAGTCCTCTACACATGGTCCAGAAAAAGCAAGGTGGATGGCGTTCCACAGGTGATTTTAGGAGGCTCAATTCCCAGACTGTGCCAGATCGGTACCCCATACCACTACCAGAACACATCTTTCAGCGGCTGCATGGGAAAAGTGTCTTCACTGTCATTGACCTGGTTCGAGCTTACCACCAAATTCCTGTAGCACCAGAGGACATACCCAAAACAGCGATAACTACTCCTTTTGGGCTTTTTGAGTTCCTGGGTATGCCTCCAGGCCTGCGCAATGCCACTCAGACATTTCAACGTCATATGGACAACCTTCTCCGTGGTATTGACTTCGCAGCATGCTACATTGATGACTTGATAGTGTTCTCGGATTCCCATGAGGAACATCTGCAACATCTACGCAAAATCTTTAATGTTCTGCGTGAGAACAAACTCACTATCAACCTCAGCAAGTGCCAAATCAACAAGTCAGAAGTTATGTACCTCGGCTACTCCATCAACAAGCTCGGATACAAACCACCTGATTCCAAGATCCAAGCCATCGCTTCTTACCCCAAGCCAGAGACCATCTCTGACCTTCGTAAGTTTTTGGGAATGCTCAATTATTACCGTCGCTGTATTCCAAAGGCCGCTGAACTTCAAGCCCTTCTCAATGCATTTATGAAGGGTGCCAAGAAAAAAGACAAACGGCCCATCCCTTGGACACCCAGCTCAGAGAAGGCCTACCAAGACTGTGTAGAAAGCATTGTCAAAGCGACTTGTACCAGCTTCATCTCACCCTCTGCAAGTCTCGCACTCGTCACTGATGCCTCGGACTTCGCCATTGGAGCTGCACTTGAACAGCTGATCGACGACTGCTGGAAGCCCATAGGTTTTTTTTCCCGCAAGTTGAGTCCCACCGAAACGCGATACAGCACCTACGATCGCGAGCTGCTAGCGATTTTCGCTGCAATAAAGTTCTTTCGTCACCAGCTGGAAGGACGCCAGTTCATCATCAAAACTGATCATCGCCCACTGGTATACGCCTTTGCTCAGCGCGCTGAAAAAGCATCCCCCAGACAGCTCCATCAACTGGACTTTATTTCACAATTCAGCACAGAAATCGTCTATGTCAAGGGAGAACACAACGCCGTTGCTGACGCCCTGTCTCGTATTAACGCTATCTCCATGCCAACGTCACTGTCTCCTAAAGCCATCGAAGCCGCACAGCTTGAAGACCAAGATACGCCACAAGAATCATCGCTCAATCTGCAACAGCTTGTTATTGAAAACGCCAACGTCCTCTGTGATATCTCTTCAGATCGCATCAGACCCTACATTCCGACAAGTCTCCGACGCAAAGCTTTTGATGTTGTGCATGGTTTGGCACACCCCAGCGGCCGAGTCACTGCTCGAAGCCTCAAAGAAAAATTTGTTTGGCCTGGAATCAAGAAGGACGCCCTCCAGTGGTCCCGCCAATGCATTCAGTGTCAAAAATACAAAATTCAACGACACAATCGGCTCGCACCACAGCACATCACCGTACCTGACAACAGATTCGAGCATATTCACCTAGACCTCATCATTTTACCACCAGTCAACAAATTTCGTTACTGCTTAACCATAATTGATCGATTTTCTAGATGGCCTGTTGCAGTACCCCTCCAGAACATGGAAGCTGACACCGTCTCGTCTGCTCTCTATGTCAATTGGATTTGCAACTACGGAACGCCACTATCCATCACAACTGACCAGGGCACGCAATTTGAATCTTCACTATTTTCGGCTCTTGCACGCCTTGTAGGAGCGCGGGTAATCCACACCACGCCCTATCACCCGCAGTCCAATGGCATCGTAGAGCGCTTCCATAGGACTTTGAAGGCCTTATGTGTCAAGCACCCACGCCCTGGACGGAAGTGCTTCCGACCGTTCTTCTGGGTCTGCGTACGTGCCTGAAAGAAGACCTGAATGCCTCATCAGCGGAGCTCCTTTATGGGACACCCCTGCGTATACCTGGTGAATTCTTCACCTCTGAGTCACCCCCAGCTGATCCCCAAGTCTTCCTCGAAAAATACCGGGACCACATCAGGAAAGTCCGCCCAACACCTACGGCTCACCATATCAAATCTCGCTGCTTCATCCTCAAGGACCTCGCAACTTGCAGTCATGTCTTCCGCCGAGTGGACTCTGTTCGTCGCCCGCTCGAATCGCCCTACACTGGCCCGCATGAAGTCGTCAAGAGAATAAATGACCGAGTGTACAGCATTCGAATCAATGGCGTTGAGAAGACTGTCTCTGTGGACGCTCTGAAGCCAGCCTACACCCTTAAACCCGATACCGTTTCATCCACCCTGGAGAATCACCCAGCGTCATCCTTCACCATGGACCGCCCTCTTCGCACTTACTCAAAAAAGAAGGTTTCGTTCCTCCCACAAGTGGCTTCGTCACTGGGAGGGGAGTAGATGTGGCGTCATTGTTCCGCGAGTCCGTTGTGTTCAACCCTGGATGGCTCAACTATTGTGTACAACCCTGGCGGCCTGACGTGACGTGACAGAAGACAGCTGTCCCAGGTTGTTGTTTACTTCTAGTCAGCTTGTGGCCGCGCAATTATGATATCGTGTTGTTGTTAACAAAATAAAGTATTTCGATTTATTTGTATGTTCAGTGCCCAGAATTAAACCGAGTTATTAGTAAAACAGTGTTTTCATTCGCTGGTGATATATCAAGCAAACACATAGCAGTAGTAGCTATAAGCTACATTGGGAACATCATAATTGTATATTATTTGTCTTTCTCTGTCACTAAGTGTTTCATTGACAAACAGATTTTGTTTTGGACAAATAATAAAATATTGAACCCTATGTGTAGAGTGACGCAGTCGTCATTTTCAAAAACTAAATTTAAACATGGCGGCCATTAACGCGGCCTTAAAACGTTTTAACTGAATTTTTGACTTGTTGGATTTCTATTAAAGAAAATTTATTTTAGATAATAATTGACAAAGTCAAACAGAAAATGGCTATTCAGACTTCTGCTTGGATTCAATAAAGAGTTGATGAGAAAAAAAAACTCATCCGGTACTAGATGGCAGCATTGGTAAATGAATTCTAGATATTTGCATTTTACGCACATGATGGATAGATGGCAGCACTTGTATTATTTTGAACTTTGTGGATATTTTTATTAAAAATTATTATTTTGCTGATTCTGAAATGAAAAAAATACAACTTTATAATGAAATTGAGAAGAGATGGAACATGTTACGTAAATGATAAATGTATCGTAACAAGCTACGCCACTGGTTGTGATATCACAAGCTCCTGCATAATTTATTTTCACAAGCAATTTTCTCTGAGACTATTTTGAATATAGGACTGCGGTTTTCACGAGAGATCTTAGAATTTTTTTCTTGATTTAAGTAGCTTAAGTCGTTTTTTAGGGTCACGCCCCCTTTAAGTATGATTGGCCGACGTTTCTGCTCTAAAAAGTGATCATCAGTGATTTTTACTAACATTTTACCTAAATTCGGCTCTGATGATTACTTTTTAGAGCAGTAACGTCGGCAAATCATACTTAGGAAGTATATCGTTAAAATTGACATAAAAAAACCAGGTCCGTATTTTAAAAAATGAAGTAGATGATGGTAGCTCGATCACGAAACGTCGGATTTATTATTTGAAGATGTCATCTTGTAGAGCGAAAAAACATTATAAAACTTTCAAATTTAAATTGTGTCTCGAAAAGCAATAGATTTCGAAATAATTGATTAAATATTTTTAGACGTTCCTTAGAAATCACTCTGTATTTCATAAACTAAAAGGAATTTGGCAACGCTGTTAACGAGTCCTAAATGGGCATCAAAAAAGGCAACTTTTTCCTAATTTAACCGACCTTGCCGCTATTGCCGTTTCAGATAAAGCAATAGTGGTATCACTTAAAATATACACCTTGTATATGTAACCTACAAACTATCTGGTATGTTTTGATTCAAAATATTCAATACCTAAACATTCACTAAAACCTTCAACAGCAAATTTTATCTAATTTCCGTTGTCTTTCGGGGTGTCCATGGAAAATGGGCGTCCCGGCCGCTGGGGGGTATAGTTGGCTGATGGGCTCCACATCCAAATCTGTTCATATAACATCGGTCTACCTCTGTGCCGAATTTGGTGCTTTTATCAGAAAGTGCACAATATGTTAAAATATCCTAGCTCAACTGCCACACTACTACAGGTTCTAGATGGCAAAAAAAAAACACAACAAATATTAGTACTTATGTAGTATTTTTGAACAACTCCGTATAATGAGTTCATAATTATTATAAGACATGTATTATTGACAATCCTATATTACGCGTTCAGTTCGCTCTTCATCGGCTTTTTTCTCAACTTCCAAATACTGATCGCATAATTCTTTAGTCGCTGTTACTATGAAATTTGGATTCATTAGATCAAATTCTTTCCCTAAAACAAAGCGTTTAGTTATTTTTTGGCTACTCACACAAGTCACAAACAGGACAGGGACATATTACTGGATAAGGTAAGTAATCGGTTACTGATAACAACTACTTTGTAGGACTCTACATACGCTATACGTATTGTTTTTTAAAACACACTAATGCACAGAAAACAAAATATCTACTTAAAAGTATTCTCATATCTATTCAAAACTATTACAAAAAAAAGTTAAGAAATCATTTACCTTCATTATAAGTTACTTATACAGTTTTCCATGGATATAAAACTATAGCTTTTGAGGTTCGGAAAATATTGAAAAACGTCAATCATCTGTTCATCATTCCGTTAATTAAGTGGGATTCGTATACCGTCCGCGAATCTTGAAAATTAGAAATGATCACCGATTATTCCTGAAAAACGTAATCAGCCGTGATTCCTAATCAGAACAATTGTAGTTTGACACAGTAATCGATTACTTATTATTAGCTCAGCTTATAGTTGAGAAATGAAAAAAAGCAAATACGGTATCATACCTGAAGAATCTGCAACATACCCTCCAGCTTCTTTCACAATAAGAGTGCCAGCAGCTGCATCCCACGGATACAGTCCATCGCATTGATAAGCGTCAATTTTTCCACACGCCACATAACACTGTCCTAGAACAGCACCCCCAAAAGCACGGATTCTTAAACAAATATCTTCCTATTGCGGTTTTATTTCCAAAATTTCATCATCTTACCCAGCAACATTTTTCATTAGATGCTTGAAACGATACATGTACAAATTGTAAAGTGACTTCTTAGCCGCTACACCGATTGGATACTCCATTAAAGACTTTTGAATTTCTACAAATATTTTATTTATTTATTTATTAACGGATAGCCCAAATTACTTTTTACAATGCAAAACAAGAAATGCCTAACGTGAGATTCTCACTCAAAAACTCTTTCCTCGTCATAAGATGAATATAAGATAGGTACCATCAAGAATTTTATTCCAGCATTAAGTTTAAGGTTTTTTTTTTTTTATACATTCTAAATTTTCAGAATGTCTATAAAGTGGTTGATAAATATTGCGAAGACATGTTGAAAATCAGTCAAGAAGCCACCCAAATTAAAATTGTTATTAGGTACGCGTGATATCTACCTAGAAATAAGGTTTTAGCTTGAGGTAAGGGATTTTCACATTTTTCGGCTGCAAATATTTATTTCACTCGAAATTCTCAAAAATACGCGATTTTCTAGAAACTTTACATATTTTAATTATTATTTATGGGAAAAAAATTTAAATTTGGTGTTTGGAGATTCTAGGTGAATAAGCAGTTTAATTTTATTGAAGATTGGATAGTGGAGCGGACTAATAGATAAAGTTAGGTCAGGTCTCTCTTACGTAGAGCTTGGAGAGGACAAAGATATAAAAATTGTAGGATGTGAGAAATGTATATTGAACAGTTTCAATGCTATAGACATGACGACACGATCATTGTTAGAGGAAGACCAAGTAGTTGTCCTACCCCGATCGAGTTATGTGCCGACTATTATATCAATATGTATATCGTATTAGGTGCATCTATCAACTGTTATTCCTGCCTGAGAGCAAAAGCTGCCGGAAGTATCCTAAAATACCACTTGATGTATATAATTTAAAAGACAAAATCCTCACAGATTGTCATATTGATGATATTCAAGAAATATGTGAACCATTTGAAGAAGGGAATTATCAATTGTTTAACATAGAACAGATAAAACCAATAATTATAAAGAAAAACCTTATAAAAAAACGTCCTTAAACCTTTTAAGAACCGATCATTTAAACTCAGAAGTTAAAGCTTTACAAAAACTGGTAAATTCGTTTCCTAGAGTCTTCCACAAACCAAATGATAAATTATCATCAAAGCTGGGCAGAAAACCGTTAATCCGTTATCCGTTAATTAACGAAGTTAAAAAAATTGCTTAAATTTAACTTTTAAGTTAACCTTGAAAATATTAACGGTTTTCTTAACTTCCGTTAACTTTATTCCGTTACATTGGTAAATGACGTCATTTTTTTGGCTTGAATTGCGCGTCAAGGTCAATCGGAACAGTTCGCACAGGCGTAAGAATATTTCAGTTCCCTACACTACGCAGTTTGGAACTGTTCTGGAATGACTCCAAAGCCGATTCCGTTTAGTGAGATCGATGCGCAAGCCCTTATTTCTGTTGTGAGGTAGGCTGTGAGCTGAGGCATATCGTTAGACTGTGGCGTTGTCTGCATTATTCTATAAGCTCCTTTTTCATGCAGAGGTGAATGATAAATAAATCAGCTACCTAAATTGGAAATAGTGCCGCTTTTTAGATCTAGATACTTTTTTTAAATTCAGATTCACCTGTGTAGGTATAGTATTTTTAGTACCTATTGGGAATAACACCATCCTTGTTCATCAATCATGAATCAGATGAAACAGAAAATTACCAACCAATCTAAAACGACTGATACTTTCAAATAGGTATTGAAAATACTATACCCTAGCCCAGCCTATTCTATTTCAATTATCTATTACTTATAATGGGGTAGTATACTATGTACAAAAATCAGTAAAAAAAACTGTTCGACATTATTCTATAGGCTAAATGGGTCTATAGAATTAGTTAGAGAAAAACAAACTGTAATTTGAATTTAGCGCCACAGCGGCCAATAGAATTCGAGCCGCTGACCATCTGACAACGCTGCTCAAAATGCCTCAAAACGACAGCTGACTTCAACAGTTCAACGACGTGTGGTGTCGTGTGACATCTGACATTGTCACAGTAACTTGTTTAAGGAGCATTTACATTCACTTCTAACTTCAAGTTGAATTTGACGTTTGATATTTTATCATTTACATTGCAGAACATAAACGTCAAGTCAAAACGTCAGAATTTTATGATTATCGGATGGATAATCTAAAAATTTGACATTTCACAAATTTCTGCTTGCCCTTGGTAAGCAGCTCGCCCAAATTTGAAGTGCACTTCGAAGTGAACTTCAAATTTATTTCAATGTAAATGCATTTGTGCTGTTGCCATATGGCAAGCACAACAATTTCAAGACAAATTGGACTTTGAAGTGAATGTAAATGAACCATTACGTTGTTTGATGTAGTAAATTTGACGTTTTGTTCTTGACGGTCAATGTCAGTGCAAATTGTGCGTTCTCAAAACTGGGATGTGTTGCCAGATTGGAAAAACTAACTACGTCACGAACTTTTATTTTCACGTAGGGGCGGGGCTAAGAGGAAAGGACCCCGCACATTTCTTATGGAAAAGTGATCTATGTGGAATTTTGCTGAATTTTTGATATTGTGTAGAGGAAGTCGTCCTTAACAAAAGTTACCATTGCGCTAATGTTTAATACCGAACAGTTTTGAAGATATCAATTAAAAACTTTGATAGCGATAGCGATTAGTGACAAATAAGTAGATAAACAAGTGTATAGTCCAGGAATGACACACCCGGTATGAGTGTGACACCGGTGCGACTCCCTAGCTGGTCAAAAATGCTAGACGGTGCTATGGGCCCTTAATACCTAGCTCCTGCCGCAATCTTCAACTTTATGTCAGGTGCTTTCTTTTCACAGCTTTGAAACCCCGGGATTCGACGCCCTGGGGCGCATCAGCGCACGCTCTGAAAAGAACGGTAATTAAGAGACATATAATTATTTGACACTAGTGACAGTTCGGACACTGGAGCTGTAGAGCTTCGACGCCTCGCTGAGGCGCTAGCGGTGGGAATAGACGACCCCCAAGGAGAATACAAACTCTTAGTAGTAGAGTCCGCGTCAGCAGTAAAGAATACGGTGACGACACGGAAAGCTGCGCGAAGCGGGTCGCATCTCTCTCCCTCGTCTATCTTTCGCTGTCTGCGGTGACCTCGGTCGTGAGCTGAAACCAGCAGCGGGGTATCTTTTTAGACAAAACTTGGATAGAAAATAAACTGAATAAATATGCCTGCTGGCCGTACGACAATGAACAACGTGCTTGGCGTTCGGCAGCAGCACTCATCAATACGATAGTTCGGTTAGTCTTCAAAATTAGGTTTGTGCGCATATGACGACACCGTACTCTTTAGTCTTGACGCGGACTCTAGTAGTGTTATCATCATTATATCATCCTTGGACGCTTGACTCCCCGATTAAAAAGAACGGTTGACACATTTCAAAATCGTGATCTATGGCGCCCTGGGGCGCCCAAGCCCCTGAAAAAAAAGCAGCTGTCATGTCAGTCATATAGCAATTTTATTTGTATCTGTTGTTTCTTTTTATTTCTTAATGTTAAAAGGAGAAGAATATAGTCAAAGTCAAAAGTGGAAAGGATAGTGTTAATTTTCGGTGCTGTGAGCAAACTGATGACGTCATACTGAAGGGTATCACTTTTAAAAAGTTTTTAATGGATATCATCAAAACTGTTCGGGATTAAACATTAGCGCAATGGTAACTTTTGTTAAGGACGACTTCCTCTACACAATATCAAAAATTCAGCAAAATTCCACATAGATCACTTTTCCATAAGAAATGTGCGGGGTCCTTTAAAAAATAAAAAAAATCCAGGGTATTGCGGTTTTTACAAAGCAACTGATTTCACTAAATAGTACGATACGTCGAGTATATCAATACTATCAATGCACTTGTATACTACCCCATTACCTTCAAACATCGGCATAACTTTTCGATGATTAACTCTTAACGGATAACTTTAACTTGCGTTATATTCTCAAAAATTTAACGATAAACAATTATCGAAGTTAACTTTTCAAGTAGCGAATTAACGATTAACGAAGTTAATTTTTCGATTAACTGTGCCCACCTCTGATTATTATTCACAAATCAAGTTAATCACGAAATTAAGACCAAAGACGAAATACCAGTTCACACAAAGACGTATAGATATATACATATTCATAAACAAGAAGTGAATAAACAAATCCAGAAAATGTTAGAAGATAAGATTATTCGACCAACATGTAGTCCGTGGTCATCCCCTGTCTGAATTGTACCCAAAAAGTTAGATGCTTCAGGCATAAAAAAATGGCTAAAATGGTCGTAGATTATAGAAAAATCAATGAAAAAACGATAGTCGATCGATTAGACTTAGCTTCTGGATTCCACCAAATTGAAATGCATCCAAACTCGATAAGTAGAACAACTTTCAATGTAGAAAATGGACATTATGAATTTAATCGTATGCCCTTTAGATTGAAGAATGCCCCAGCAACATTTCAAAGAGTAATGGTCAACGTTCCAATAGGTCTACAAAACAAAATGTGTCTAGTTTACATGGATGATATTATTATATTTTCCACTTCTATTCAAGAACATATTGAAAATCTTAAAAAGATATTTGAAATAATTAAATTCAAGTAGATAAATCAGAATTTTTGAAATCAGTAGAATTTTTGGAACATGTAATAACCCCAAATGGTATTAAACCGAACCCAAAGAAAATCGAAGCAATGAACAAATGTCTAATCCCAAAAACCGTAAAAGAAATTAACTCATTTCTAGGATTGATAGAATATTACCGAAAGTTCATAAAAAACTTCGCTAAAATAACAAAACCAATGAAAATTTGTTTAAAGAAGGATAGAAAAGTATTCCACGATTCTGAATTTCTAAAAAGTTTTGAAACTTGTAAATAGTATATTACATACCGAGTAAGGAAGTGAAAAACACAATAATGTATTGTATTATTAATCAATTATACTATTTTACAACACCCTGATTTCAATAAATCATTTTTATTGACTATAGAAGCATCAAATTATGCTATTGGCACTGTATTGTCACAAGGACCAGTAGGCTCAGATTCACCAATTGCGTACGCAAGTCGTAC